AAGTAAACGCACGTTTACTACTGCACAATTAGTTACCGTACACTAATGACTAGACCAATGATAGGACAATGACAAAACAATGACAGGGCCAAAATGAAAATGCTAATAACCTTTTATTTATCATGGGATTAATTTTAAATTTGAAATATAATAAGATTACATTATTTAATATTTAAATATAAAAAAAAAAAAACGAAACAATATTTTCAAAACTTGCGAAAACGTGGCCTGAGCAACGTTTACAATGACAGGACCAATATTGGCAAGTACAGGACTATATGAAAGTGCTCATAACTTTTTTATTTCTCAAATGATTCATCTGAAATTTGAAATATAATAAGCCTGATAATTGAGTACTTTTTATACCCCCAGAACGAATTGAAAGATATAAAAGTGAAGAAATTAAAGTTTAAAATTGCAAAAGTTGTTGTCGCATAAAAAAAGAGGTCCCAATATTTTCAATTTTGTTAGAATATTATACAACAGCATTAACATTCTGTTCTTTTTGTCCCTAAGAATGAATAGTTTTACACAAATTGAGCGCTCCAATCTAATTAAAATTAAATCTCCGCACTTGCTCCTCGTTGTTTATATGTGGCGCGTGGGAGATCTAACAACAGCCGCTTGAGGGTCATGTCTAGGGTCAAATTTGCTGTAGCCAATCAGCGAAGGTGCTACAAACTGTTAGGGTATTGGACTGGCATAGGAGTCTTAGTAGCGTCTAGAGGTCTTCCGAATGTATATAAACAAAAATGGCAGCCCCATGCGAAAAACGTTTCGTAACATACAACTGTAATAATAGTTTGTATTATTGCCTTCCGAGGTTAAAATGGCATCAAGTGAAGTATGCACCCCAAGGAAAATATCAGTAAGAACAAACATTTGTGTTTTATGCGGTTTTTCTTTCATCCAGATAGAAATCTCCTCAACGGGAGAACGTGTTGAAAAAAACCGTTCAAACTGAAACTTCAGCAGAACTCAGAGAGAATCGCAATAATTTCTAGTGTTGTTATTTGTTTTGAAGAAAACGCCGAAGTAGACAAGGACAATGGCGTCTGTATTAAATGTTTTAGAAAAGTCCAACAGTCAATCAAATTAAAGAAAGATGCATTAAAAATGCAAAAAAAACTAAGTGACTAACTTCGGGTGTCTTACCACCTGACCAATCAGAAAGATTAATTGCTAATAGATTTGTAAATCTGCAAGGTGGAACAAACAATAATATAAGCTTAGATAAATACTTAGAGATGTTGAACAAGGATACAAAAGTAACATGTTCAGGACATCAGACAAAGGAAAGTATCCTTCAACACTCTAAAGAGTATCCTCACCTAGTTAATTTTGGAAGCCATTTTGATAACATTACCAATTTAACAGTAAAGAAGGGGTTCCACCATATACCGTCATACCAAGCTGATGTTCAGAAAATTGCAAAAGACCTACTACAAGAAAATGTACTTACATATAAAACTTCAAGAATAATTAAATGCTAGGAGCTAACAAAAGACAAAAACCCATTTGACAGTGCATTTATAGGACTTCGTACATTGATTCATCGACATCAACCAACAGTCCCCTTCCATCGCCTTCGAAACCCACATATTTGAAAAATATTGCTTGGAATTAAATTATTGTGAATAAAGTGTGCAGGTTTAATTTTCTCTTTAAGTCATAATCTTAATTAGCTGGTACTTTTTTTAGTAGTTTGTTGCTGATATTAAAAAAAATGTGTGTCATAAGTCAATGAGACATCAACCCAACAACAAAGTAATGAAATACTTTCAGTTTAGTTGCAGAATATTATGGTCATTTTGATTAGGCAGCATAACTACCTACACAAACATGTTTATAAAAATGTGGCATGATTTCTAATGAGACAACTTTTCAAAAGGAACCAACTTATTTTTCTGTATTAAAGTTCACAGTTCCACCTCTGACTTTGAGTAAAACCTATAGCAAGCTGTACAAAGGCCCGAAATGACTTTATGAAAACAGCAAGCACGTTTGTACAAAACAACAATGAGATAAAAACCAAACTTTTACAGATTTGTTCACAAGGCGACCAGCATGCGGATATTTACCCTATATGTACATGTAAAGAGTTGTTGATAAAACTTATAAAAGGTGGTGTTGGTTAAATGTGCTTTCCTGAGTGATGAAGTTATTAGTGCACATTATTTAGTTCAATTTATATCTTAGTCGAATTAAACACAGTAACTTAATATAATAAAATGCTCCGCTGGGCGGAGCTTGATACGACCGCAGAGGTCGAACCCTGAACAGTCGGGGCAAGTATGGACACAACATTCAAGCTTGATACAGCACTGAATTTGGATTGTGATTAAATATTTGACACAGCATAGGTTTCTGACACAGAATGAATGTGGTCTAAGAACTTATAAATTTTTAATTTACCTATTCAAACCATATCATTATAATTTGCTTTTATATATAAATCAAAAATAACAAATTTAAAATGGAAAATTTTAAAGAAAAAAAAGGAAAAAAAAAAATTCCCCCCACCCAAATTTTTGAACCCTCCTTATGATTCATCAACCCCAAACTCAATCCCAGCCTTCCCTTTGTGGTATGGTACCTTGATGTACAATTACAGAGAGATCCATACACTTGAACACAAGTTATTGACTGGAAACTAGAAAAATGCTTGTTTTTTGGCCCCTTTTTGGTTCAAAATTCCTAAACATTTAGGGAAATTACCCCCAAACTCAAACCCAGTTTTCCCTTTGAGATATGGAACCTTGTAGTACAATTTCAGAAAGATCCATACACTTATACACAAGTAATTGTAATGAAACTTGAAAAATGCTTGTTTTTGGCCCCTAATTACTAAAATTTTGAGGCAATTACCCCCAAAATCAATCCCAGCCTTCCCTTTGTGATATGGAACCTTGTGGTACAATGTCAGAGAGATCCATAAACTAACACACAAGTAATGTCTGGAACTTACAAAAATGCTTATTTTTGGCCCCTAATTCCTGAACTGTTGGTACCATAACCCCCAAAATCAATTCCCACCTTCCTTTTGTGGTATTGAACCGTATGGTAAAATTTCATGGAGATCCATTCACTTAAACTCAAGTTAGAGTGCGAAAAACCAATGTGTCTTCGGACGACAACGACGACGCCAACGTCATACCAATATACGACCGCAAAATTTTTTTGTGGTCGTATAAAAAAGAAGTGGTATTAAGTCTATAGTTGACTGTTTTCTTGATGAACACATTGGTCTTGAACAAAGTTGTAAGTAAGATATAGTCCCACTGCATGTTATTGTCTTGAATATGCATGAAATATTTGCCACTGAAACCCAAGTGAAGAAATCAATAATCAATCAACCTGTCAATGTTTATTTTGAGCAAAAATAATCATCCTCTATGTATACTGTTGGCTACATCAAGTTAAATACAATGAGTTTGCTATAAAGAACAAATATTACATCATCAAGAACAATGAACAAAAAGGTCAATGTCATACATGTCATATGAACCATGCCAAAACTTAGCACAAAAGTACATACATCAATAGCAATAATTCTATACACCAAAGATAGTTGACTTGTTGATCAATAAACCATGAAAAGTCAAGGTCAGAAACCAACCAGACTGATTTTTATAGTTCGTTCCTGTGTTGTACTGTTACACCACTGTCCCAGGTTAGGATCCTGATAACATGTTTAAACCCGCCACATTCTGTATGTATGTATCTGTCCTAAGTCAGGAGCCTGTAATTCAGTGGTTGTCGTTTGTTTATGTGTTACATATTTGTTTTTCGTTCATTTTTTGTACATAAATTAGGCCGTTAGTTTTCTTGTTTGAATTGTTTTACATTTGTCATTTCAGGGCCTTTTATAGCTGACTATGCGGTATCGGCTTTGCTCATTGTTGAAGGCCGTACAGTGACCTATAGTTGTTAATTTCTGTGTCATTTGGTCTCTTGTGGAGAGTTGTCTCATCATGCTCATTGGCTATCATACCACATCTTCTTTTCGATATAACATGTACATCTTACAATAATTCCACACCAAAAATATTTTTCTGTTTGTTTATCATGTTTATAGTAATCGAGAAGCAGACTTGACCCCGAATATATGCTTGTTTCATGAAATGAGGTCAAGATTAGGCGAATATGCAACCATATCTGACAGACATGACAGACATGGCAGACATGGTTTTCTCTCTCGAATTTTTTCGTATTTTTCTGGTCGGGGCCTTTTGTAGCCGACTAAAGGCATGGGTTTTTCTCGTTGTACTACAATTGCTTATATCAAGTTATTGAAAAGTCTGGAGGGTAGTTGTCTGATTGGCAATCATACCGCATCTCTTTTTTTTTCAGACGATTGATTGATTGATTGTTGTTTGCTTAACGTCCAGTGGCAAATATTTCATGCATATTCAGGACGAGAACAAATTAACAATAAATACAATAGGTAGGTTCTGTAATAGGGGCGTCCGGGATTAAGGTCGGAGAAATTTAGACTGCCACGGGAAATGAGGGTATATTCGATAGGGACAGAAATTTAGCTTGGCAACAGGTCGCCTACGGACCCCTCAAAGAGTTATTGTAAGGGTTCTTAACGTGCAAAGAGCGTGGCACTCTCTTTACATGAGGCATCGGATTTAACGTCCCCATTCTGACCGGACGTGGCTGTAAATTTGTACATCCGCACAGCCAAGACGGACGCCCAACTTTGGCGAGGGTTTTACTGCCGGTCGGAGGAAGACCAATGGTGACCATACTTCTATTCCCCAGTCACCCTTGGGGGATTTTTAAGATGAAAACTAGTAAATATCTTATGATGTGTGTCTCATTTGTTTTTATATGCTACATATCTTTTTAGTCACATTGACAGCTGCAGGCATGACATGAACCCAGATCTAGAGTGGCAATACAGCAATTGTAAGGGGGTTAAAAGTCAAAAAAATTTAAAGAGTCTAAAGTTGAATAAGTTACAGAAACCAGATACTGAAAAATTAAATAAATAAATATCAACTGTTTTAATCATCTTGTATTTCTAATAAAGCCATATCAAGATCTTTTAAGTATTCATAGGCCGACAAATTGTAGTCTTCAGTATCGCTATCTGATACAGCAGAATCTTCTTGCTCCTCGAGCTCCTCAACAACTTGTTCTGACAGAAATAACTTTTCAAGAGGTAATATATCACAGGATTCACAATTACAAGACTTAGCACACAAGTCACAGCATGAATGTTTCCTGCTTTCTTTCTTCATCAAATCATTCAAGTCTGAATTTCTGAGGAAATTACACATCAGATCCTTTCTCCTACATTCTTTAGCTGTAAGAATTGCCTTAATTTCCGGTTTCAACTTCTGCACGTGGTATCCATTGTATAGGATAATGGCAACTGATGGATTTCCATCCCTCCCTACTCGCCCTATTTCTTGCAGCAAATCTACCAGATTATTTGGAGGTCCAAATAATACCACTCCACTACACTTTTTTTTACATCTAAACCCATTCCCAGGGCACTGGTTGACAAAATAAGTCTCAAAACACTACTTTCCTCCTTCAATGCATTAATTATAATGTTTTTGTTAACATCTGGAGTTTCAGAATGGAACATCTCAATATACTTGGCACAATGTGGCAATTCTGTTACAATGTATTTATAAAGTTTGGAAGTGTCATTTATCGATGAACAATACAAAAGTGTACGTGGGAAGTACTGTCTTTTTTCCTCTAATGCATCTACTAACCATGTCATTCCCATTTCAATTTCATTTTTAATTTTGTTTAGTTTAATATTAGACTTGTTTGGTGATAAATTAATTTCTGTTGTGTCCTCCGCTAGCTGCAATATTTTCATGATCTTTTTCCTAAAGCTTACAGTGTAAGTTTCACTTAAAGCCAATACTGTAGCATCGGGAAAGAGGGATCTTAGTTCACCTGCATTTGAAAACCATTTTCGGAAAGCCTCTTCTCTGTCTCCTTCATCTTGGCCCCTGAAAGAAAAATAGAAATAAGTACATCTATAAAAACTTTTATAAAAGGTAAATATCAGCACCTCTTGCCTGGTTTGTTAATTCTTATGGCAAAACAAAAATAAATACATGTATGTGCATGTCCATATTGTTATGTAACAGCCTATCATTCAGTGGTTGTTGTTGGTTGCTGTCTAGCACATTTGTTTAGGGTTTTATTTTTCATAAATTCTTATAATTACATTGTTATGGTTCAACATTTTGCAAGTAGTGGTCTTAAAAGAGCTTACTTTTTAGTATTAGGTTGTCTCGTTCTTGAAAGCTGTACAGTTCTGTACCAGTGGTCTTAATTTTTTACTTCTATATTTTTGAAAATCTAAAATTCATAAAAATGGGAAGGAGTACACATCAATATATAGAAACAATTCATCAAAGTTTCATGCAAATTTGTTGAATAGTTTTTGAATTACTGTCTGACATGTTGACGATTGACAGACAGTCACAGGTTAGGGGAGGGTTGGGATCCCGCTAACATGTTTAACCCTGCCACATTCTGTATAGTGCCTGTCCCAAGTCAGGAGCCTGTAATTCAGTAGTTGTCATTTGTTTATGTGTTACATATTTGTTTTTTCGTTCATATTTTTGTGCATAAATTAGGCCGTTTTTTTTTTTCTCGTTTGAATTGTTTTACATTGACATTTCATGGCCTTTGATAGCTGACTATGCGGTATGGGCTTTGCTCATTGATGAAGGCCGTACGGTGACCTATAGTTGTTTATTTCTGTGTCATTTGGTCTCTTGTGAATAGTTCTCATTGGCAATCCTACCACTATTCTTTTTACATAGACAACGGTATACCATAATACGTCCTGTAAATGTGTGAATAGAAATGAACATGGGGAATAAACATTGTATCCACTTACCAAATTGCTATTGTGTGAAACTCATCAATTACAATCAACTTAATGTTCAACTTCTTTAAACAAGTTCTCCAATAGGGATCACCAACCAATGTTTCTGGAGATGCAAAAATGTCATCTATCAACCCCTCTTTGATTCGATCGTCACTCTGGGGGAGATGATCCTAAAATGCAAAAAAAAAATGTAGGTTGGCAGTTTCCAAACAGACATATTTCTATTATTATAATTTGACTAATTTCCATCGACTTCGATACCTTTATTCCAAAGTTATTATCCAAAATCCAAGTGTCGTCTGGTTACTCTACTCTCTAATGAACAATATCACGTGACTAACATGGAGATTCCCTGTCAGCCAAAAAAATCTATGGAACGCAATCAGTGTCATAATCTTATATGTTTTTGATGTATTTTAGCGATAAAAGATGAATTTTGGTTTATCAAATGAACTTCAAAGGAGTTATTGAGCACAGTTCTTGTAAATTAAGTACAAATTACGTTGATTACTGGGTAGTATAGAGGATTTGTATACACAATTTTATTGTATTATGTATTTATTTGTTTTGTTAAAAGTTTTGTGTATCACAAAATTATTAGTGTTATTTTTTTAATATTTTACAGGTTCAACTTAAAAGGCAGAAATACAAGTCGTATTCACCAACAAAACTGACTAATGCTTATCTGGATGTTACTGACAAGAAGCTTAGTGTTGCCAAGGCTGCAAGGAAGTATTGTCTTCCTGAACAGACACTAAGAGACCGTGTATTGGGCCACATCTCTATAGACAACGTAAAGTCTGGACCACCACCAGTGTTTGACTGTGAACAGGAGGCAAGATTGGTTCAGCACATAAAAGAAATGGGTGCAGTAGGATATGCATACACCAGAGCTGAAGTGGTGGATCTTGGATCTGAGTATGCTGTTCACATGGGTATAAAGACAAAAGACGACAAGCAGCTGTCATTGAGATGGTTTTACAGCTTCATGGGTAGATGGCCTGAACTAAAGGTATGGAGACCTAAAACCATCTCAGAACTTAGAGCAAAGGCAACCTCAAGGGCATCAATTTACAGGTACTTTGATGAACTTAACCGTATAATGGAAAAATATCAGCTAAAAGACAAACCACAGAGTATCTATAATGTTGATGAGAAGGGTTTACAACCAAACTATAAACCACCAAATGTTGTGGCCTCTGCAGAGTATGTACCCTCTACCTTGTCTTCAGAAAAAGGTCAAACAACAACTGTAATGGGATGTGGTAATGCCTTAGGACATCAAATTCCACCTTATTTTATTTTCGCTGGTAAACGTATGAGACAGGAGTTGTTAGAAGGGGCCACACCTGGTGCTGATGGGTCTGTCAGTGAAACTGGATGGTCCAATTCAGAGATATTTCAGTCCTACCTGGAAAATCATTTCATAAAATACGTCACTGGTATGCAGGACAAACATATTCTTCTTCTGTATGATGGTCACAGGACTCACATAACACCAGATATCATTGATTGGGCAGTAGAGAAAAAAATTATCTTGTATGTTTTGCCTCCTCACACCAGCCATGTTCTTCAGCCCATGGATGTTGGTTGTTTTGGGCCTTTCGCAAGAATCTACAGTTCAGAATGTCATAAATTCCAACGTACCCATTCAGCAGTAATTAACAAATACAACTTATGCTCTATTGCCTGCAAATCCTACAATTCTGCTCTTTCTCCTTCAAATTTGCAGTCTGCTTTCCGTAAATCTGGTATTTACCCGTTAGATAGAGATGCTATAGATCAGTCCTTGTTTTCTATTTCTGATGCTATTCATAGACAGAGCCAATCAGAAGAAAATACCAAAGTTGATGATATCCCTGCCATTGAAAATGAAACAACTGAACCAGTTAATTTAATGTCCGATTCAGAGATAAATGCAGACACAGAACCTATATTATCAAACCAGGAAAATGAAAACATTCAGATTTATGTAGCTGAAAAAATTACTGACGAAAAACCAGATGAAAATACAACTTTCTTCACTGAAAAATCAACAAATTTGTCCAAGAAAAATCCACCAAAACAGGAAAGACGTTCCATCTACAAGATAGTAGCAGGAAAGGCAATTACAGAACCAGAGACACGTCAAGAAATAAAGGAGTACATTGCACAGTCAAAGTCAAGGACCAAGTCTAAAACAAACAATAAATCAACAAAACATAACATTAACCAAAATGCTAAGAAAACAACAACTAAACGTAAACAAAATGGTTCATCATCTTCTTCCAGTTCAACAACCACAAACAAGAAATTAAAGCAGAATCAACAAGATTCACAACAGCCAGGTCCATCAGGACTACAAAAAATAGTTGTTTCTGACGGTTCAATTACAGATGAAGATGATCAAGATGATGATAACACATTGTGTTGTGTTTGTAACATGTGGCAGCCAAAGGAGTTACAGGATTGCATCTCCATTGTATTCACACAATGGGCCAAATGTGAATTTCTACAATGTGATCATTGGACTCATCTTAAATTTTGCTGTGATGTCTCAGTCCTACGCAGGTCAGATAAATTTTACTGCCCATGTCATGGCTTACCCTGCAAACAGAAAGAAACTGAAGAATAATGATAACGATATACATTTGATAATTGTTTGACCGTTTCCAGTTATTTATATTTAAAGACATTTACTGTTGCCAGTTCTTTATTAACAGTTGGAACACTTTTGAGTTGTGAACATTTGCTTGATTTTGTAAATATGAACTTTATCTTCTGTGGAAAGAAATTAAATCATGATTCCAAAGGAAAAAATTGACTGAACTGTATCTTTAAGCACATTTTTTTTAATTAATGGTAAGTAAAAATAATTGTTATTAGCAACTTTTAATTTTATTTTGTTACTTATAATTTTAATAATTTTTTAAAAGTTAAAAAATTTTTTTTTTTAATCTTTTTGGGTGTTTTCATTTTTTATTTTTGTAAGGTTTTCAGTCTCCAAAAAATCAAAATTAAATACTTGGTTTTTAAAAACAATGTTTTTATTTTTACTGAACTGAATATGTACAAAAATATTATTGTATAAAATTACCATTTTAATGCTCACCACTGGGCTTCCATACTCTGTGTTCTTCTTGTGTTATTTTTAGAACGAACTTTTCCCACGAAAATAGGTGACGTACTTGGCATATAATGCCGATTTGTTTACACTAGAAATGTAGGTCATATCAAAGAAACTATGAAACGGAAAGAATCAAACTAACTTGTATTATTTTAAAGAAGTTCTAAGGTAACATTATCAACATAAAAAACAAATGGCTATTTATTAGTTTTACCGCATTC